TCTGCTTTGGCATTGTTGATCTGGTGATGTTCGGGTGGTTGCTCTTGGTTTGTATGTTTGGAACATGGAGGTAAATTGTGGTTGCTGGCTTGCTACTAATCCTCTTGAAAGTGCTAGAACTTTTTAATGCCCATATTTTAGAATGCGTGTTCTTCAATATCGTAAAGATCACAGCCATCATAGTGGGGAGATGCTCGATGAGATTTTATTAGTGTTCGGGTTATTTGGGGAGATCGTTTATTGCTGTATTGGTAAGTGAAAGGCTTCAACCTTTAAATTTATGCCTAATTTTTAGCAATTGATCTTTGGGTTACCACAAATCCGATGAAGAAATATCGGATGCCAAACTACGATCTACCAGTGTATATATGCCGATTATTAGCCGTGTTTTTCCAAGCTGTTTTTATCATGATTAGCTCGAGGTAAGCGTTGCAAAACTTCGAAGCAGCGCTTCAAATGTCGAAACATGCACTGCATAATTGTTGTATAGTTATATTTTGAGACAACGATAAGCAACTCTTGTAGTAAAACGTTACCGTATTGTTAATGCAATTTAACATTTTAGGCTGGTAGCTCGTGGAGCCGAAGAAGCAAAAATCAAGCCCGGAAAGCAGTCCGTCACTTTCCTCCTAGTGGCCAACGTGGCCCTCTTTTTCTTCCATACTTATGAATCGATGAAGAGCACTCTTCCATTGACTGCTTCTTCAGCAGCATATCCCTATATCATGTATGGTGTCTCGCCACTCGTCGTATTCTATAGGTAAGGACTCGCATAATGACTTACACTGAATACCTATTTATTTAGATTCCACAGCTCGGTGTGCCTCGTGGATATTTTCAAAAGGACATACAATACAAAAGCTGGGGACAGCTCTTCCTCCGCCTCTTTTACAATGACAATCGACTCGACCGTTGGCCACTAACAACCTTGAAAACCTTGTAAATTGTCTGTGCAATCCTTAAATTCGGTTAATCCGGATCTCATACTTCCCAATTGTACTTACACATATTATTTGAGTAGATTGTTTGTGCTTACTGCCGAGAATTTCGTTATTCTTATGTGCACTTTTCATGCTAGTTGCCGAATTGTGAGTGTTGATCGGGTGCCTTGTGGAAATGACCAATACTTTGAATTGCGTTTGGATCTCTTTGTGTTGTTTTTATTGTGGTTGGTGAATAAAATTTATGTCCTAAAGTTGATCCAAAAAACGCCATACACACATAATAATTGACATTTGATTAGTTTTAAAAAGCGTTCATGCTTATAAAATCGCTTCCAATTCAACAAAATACATCCTAACATGTAGTTTATGCTTTTTTTCGGAAGTCGCTCCACGATTCCGAAAGCTGTCGATATTGTTTGCAAACTAAACAGCCGGGTTGCTGTTTTTGCCCGAGGTTTCATATTTGCTTGCCTAAAACTGGGTTGACAGTTTGATTTTTTGGCAGACATCACACGGATGCACTTGAACTTTGAAAGCGACGATGCCGAGGAAAGACAATTCAAATAACGGTTTGACTTTTGAAAGTGATACATGTTTGTTTTGAAAAAAGTGTGCTAGTCCGCGGTTTTTTTTAATTCCCCAAATAGCTTGGATGCAAATGGTTCAAATGACGTTTTTCGTTTTAGTCAATCGGTTACGTTGGGAAAAAAATGGGTCCGCGCCTTCCCCATGTTGGCAACTTGCCAAAACGTCGAGCCCCCTTGCCCAAGGGGGGGGGGGTCGACGTAAGCCGTCTGTCGCCCTTTAACTCAATGCTCGTGTGTGGTATATGTAATGTAATGAGGTACTTTATGAATTAAAATTATGTAAATAAGGTACAATTCTTTAAAATATAATAGAATATGGGGGGATGAGCACTGACCTCAAATCACCAACATTGCATACCGGTGTCGGGGTGATATTTTAATGACCAAGTAAACCGGACGCCTATCAGGCTTTTGCGTAATAGAGATCTATGCGGAAATTGCTGGAATGCATACATGCGGGGAATCGCATCGAATTGGAGGAATGGTAGAGCTTTGCCAACAAGCGCTGCACAGCAAGCAAAAGTTGGAAGGTATATATCATAAGAATCTTTCATAATAAGGTGTAAAAGACGAATAACCGGAATTCCAATTTTCTATGGAGAGCAATACCTTCAATACTATTTTTTTTAGTTTTTGAGCATTCCAAAATATCTTCAGCAACTATCCATCAAACCTTCTGCTTTTTGCAAAATATAGCTTTCCAATCTAATTCATCTAGGCGCTGAACATCTTGTAATAAACCTTCTAAGCTTTAAAATATTAAATAATTTTTAGCTCCTTAAAAATGTATGTAAAGCGACATCACTTTCAAGGTAAGTTCTTTGATGAATTTGATATAGAGGATCTTCCCAGTTATTCGACCTTGCAAAGTCATTTCATCGGTGTAGAAATAATTTGCACATAGAAAATCAAACTAGACGAATTGACTATAACTACATGAATTGTTGACTAAACTTGACTATGGTACTATGACTATTAAGGGGTCCCGTAATCCTGACATAACATTATGCAAAATTATTTTGGGCGGCAAACGACTGGATATCGTCGATTTGTGTCCCGCAGCTCTGACAGCATATGTTCATAATTTAGATAGTGATGTCCGATGTAGCAAAGCTCGAAATTCTGAAATTACCAGTGACACCTCTTTTGGTATCTATACCTGAATAATAATGAATGCGTTGTAGCCATAAGTGCTGCGACAGAGGACATAGATGTACATGTTTTCTTCTTTTGAGTAGACCGGGTCCCCGACAAACTATAAAAAAGATCAAAAATCAGTTACTATATCGTATTATATAGCTTTAATCTTGCTATATACCTCCAACTTTTCGATAATCCTGAAGAGCCCTTCAATATCGCAATTTTCCAAATCGATAGCGACTAATCGGGGTTTTGGTTGGAAGAGAACTTCTTTTTTGCGCAACTGAAATGTTTTAAATGTTATAAATCTAAGCCGTTGGTTTCTAATAATTATTATTATTATTATTATTACCTACCAATAGAATATTCAAAATGCTGTCTTCCGTTGGCTTCCAGGGACACATAAAACGTGGCCCCAACACCACCGGTCCTTCATCAATCTCCACCCGAGAACGCAGATAGATCTTCCGACATTGTGGCAACTATATACACGAATTTTCGTAAATACCAAGCTTCAACTAACGTATTCAAGTAGCTGCTCATAGCCTCCCACGCAGTCTTTACAAGGGGCTGTATTAAAACAAGAACGCCCGTTCCGAATCCACACGAAATTCAGCTAAAATAGAGTTATTTAAAAATTAACAAATATAACTGACCACTTCAGTTTTGTAAAACCCTCGCTCGCGCATCCGTTCCAGCAGACTTCCCAGACAGATAAAACTCAGTGATACGCATATCGATTGTCGCACCAGGTCGAATTTCGTTAAAGGCTCGGGTGGCTAAAAAAAGGTTAACTTTTAGGGCATCCTTCCTACCATATCATCGACATAATTTGTGAAATACGTAAAACGTGGTCGAACATGCTTCAACATCCGGTTAGCCGTTTCATAACTCGGCTTGTCCTCCCAAACCTTTGTCGATTCAAGCCTAAAAGTTCTTTTGGGTAGCGGATAGATAATGTAGTCTAACCCCATCTTAAATTTGAAGGAGTTCTTGTCGAGGATAGCAATGTATCGATCACGATATTCGTCGTAGAGACTAACACGCAACTAAAATTTTCCAGAAATAATTTACAAAATCAGACTCGGGTACCTCATCAGCCCTAGCCTCTACGTGAGCACGAATCATCTTTTCTGGCAGACACCCATGTTGTTCGATCATATGATGCATATACTGAAAGGTATTTTGGTTAATTGAATTTCTATAAGATCTAAGTCTGTCTAACCTTCGAGGTCTGGCAAATTCGAGCCCGTTCTATCAAGCCGACATTTGCCAAGATTTCTTCTTGAGCTAGAAGGGGAAGATCCAAGAAGTCGAAAGGTTCCGCAGGTTCCGGCGACTCCGGGTTATCCGGTGCGTCATCCATCGCTTCTATTTCCATACCTATTAAAATGTTTTTCTCCGAATACCGAAAATTTGTATTAGAGATAAATCAGTAAAATCATAAAAGGTGAAAAGTCGTCGTACAAAAAAAATTTTAAAAAGGGCATCCGACCTGCGAAAAATTTAGGTTTGTTACTTAACAACGACGAGGTTAAAATCTGTTATGCCCAATTATCAGGAAAATATTGATAAAGAAATGGAAAAACTATTGTGAAATTGTCTAATACGATTTCTAGACCCCATGGAACAAAAAATTCTATTTTCCGGAATCCCTGAATTGATATTAGGCCGAGAAAAAATAAGCATAACGCAATGAAACTACGAAAAGAAAAGCCTGGTTATTCACAGCCGCAACGCGTGACAGCCGGCGCCTGGCAACCCAGGCCGAAATAAATATCGTAAGCAGATAGCGGGTGTAGAGAAAATGCTGGATCTACATTGCCTTTTTTGGTCAATTACTGGAAATAGAGATGAGTTGGAACGGAGTGAGTGGAAAAGATTTCAGATTTCCGGGAAAAATTCTGCTGCACCAACTATCATAAAACGGATTAATAAGTATAAACATTTGTATATTATGTGCTTGACTAATTTACATTTCAGCGCAAGACCTTGGATACTACGCCATTTCGGAAAGCTTGGAAATTAAATGCAATGGGTCATATGACCGAAAATTCGTAGTTGCAGTTGGTAGACAAATTCACTAGTGCGTTAATATTTTGTTGGTATCATCGTTTTTTATAAATATTTTACCATTATTTTTACTAACTCTTAGGTTTTCTTTCATTGTTATAAACATACACCTCGAGTCTGCAACATTAAAGTGCAAGCAATCAACTAATGTGGCGCTGGCAACCTGAAGCCTTCGGACACCTCCCTGCACTATTTGCAAACATTGGCCCACATCAGGGCACTACCATCAACCCAACCATTATTCGCATACCTTACGATGGACACTACAGCTTCAGAAATTAACCCTGAACGTCTACAATTTGTCGACACCGAGCGAAATCCACCGGCTGACGATCCGAAGAGCACCGCGCGCTATTTGGCACAGAAATGGGTTAACAACCCGAAAGCATGGTTTGCTAAAACTGGAATATGTTTAAGGGTGTGTTTAGTAGTTTCTTCTGCTCATTGTTGAGTTTATTGTATGGATTAACACTTACTGTAGCAGCAGTTTTTATCGAAATCTCCCCGACATGGACCAATCAATTAAATACCAGCGAATTGGTATGGTTATTTGAACTCCTATGCTTCTATATTTACCTAGATATTTTATTTTTGGATGTATGGCGTTGGAATCCTGTTTTTTATCTATTGCTATCTGGGATATATTTATGTCGGATGGTTCGAACATTTTCAAAGCGCCCTAATCAGCATGAGGGTTTTAGAAGATAATGTAAGTTTTCTAGCTGCAATTTGTCAGGTTTAGAATTGGACGTTAACCAAATGCTCGAAGAAGCCAGACTCGACGGCTAGTCTATATCTCAGATTTGGGCTGCTGGGTATCACTCTGGCTTTTTTTTCAGAGACTTATGTGATGTTTAGCATTCGGGCTCCTTGGCCTCGTGCTCCTTTCCTCAGAAATAATCGCAAGGCTAGAAGAAGGAGGTGGTGAAAACGCTATACAAATTACTAAATTTGTGCTGACGATAATTTTCGTTTTCGTGCAAATGCATTTTATCTTTGCCCATTCAAAGGTATCGTTCTTATCTACAACTGGGTATTATTTCTAGATTATTGTCGAACGCTCAAAAGCCATTTATTGCTTTGGGTTGATGCATGTAACGGCTGTTAATGTATATTCATGGATACGATATATCTTTGTGGAAGGGGTTAGGTTGAATAAATTTGGAGATTTTTTTATTCAGGTCCACAGTCAAAAGAAGCATATTCCAAATATTTCTACTGATTTTATTATCGATTTGGATTTGAAAGTCGAAGGATATATTGGTACTGGACCGACAACGATTTTGGTGACTTGTCTGGGTAGGTTTATAGGTTTTTAACCTCTATAGGCTGTTTACCTTAGTGGAATTCTTCATAATCTGCTCAGCATTGTTATTGGTAATGTGGATGCAAATTGGTAGAGACTCGGAAATTCAACAATTTAACAAAATTTCTGGCCTTCAAGTAGACACCAGGTAAAACAACGCTTTGATGCCAATAATCAAATAAACTTTTTTAGCTTATTCAGCGCTGGAATCTTTTCCGGTATTATTTTCATGGTGCTGTCCTTTTTCCTAATTATCATACATGCGGTTTATGAAAAGGTAATCATACCTTTAATTCGGTATGTAATGATTACAGGATGAAGACGCGGGAAAGAAATATTGCTTTTACGGGGTTGTCAGTTTAGTTTTGTACTTAATGCTGCTCTCCGTTGTTTTAATTGGTTTATGGAGGTATTTCGTCATAAACGTTGCCGTAACCCTCAGGATGCGCGAATTAAACTATCGTATGGATGTCTACAAAAAAGGATCGGTACTGTTGGATGAAATGCTGTTAATAATTGGCCTTTTTGGGGAAGTCGTTTATGCAATTATTGGTAAGTCCAAAATCTTACCCATATTTACAGTAGCGTGCAAAGAAGGCAACACCCAGGAAGCTCTTGTAACCCGGCTCCCTCGTTGTATTTTGCGCCGACGAAATGTTTCCTAGTGTTTTCAACGCTGTAGAATTCGATGAGCAAGGTGTCAAGCTGCTAAAATGACGTTTAGTAGCTTAAATATCGAATTTAAAATAGCTCCAAAAATCTACTTTTTCTAAAGGCATTTTTCCGTTTCAAAAACATCACCATCGTGTCCAGCATGATCGATTTACCCCGACTCGATGTCGTTTGTGATGGGATTTGACTTGGCTCAGCTGGGAAGCCGGGTTTTCCGTGTGCCAAACGAGTCAAGAAGTGGGCTCGTCTGGGGGAAAGGTATTGCAGGCGCCCCCATCAGGCCGATGGCGACACCTATTAATCGCAGCTTCCTAGCCGACTGAAGACGTCCTAAGAAATCAGAACCATTGACTTTGGGTAGATCGACCATGCTGAACACGATGGTGACGTTTTTGAAACGGAAAAATGCCTTTAGAAAAAGTCGATTTTTGGAGCTATTTTAAAATCGATATTAAAGCTACTAAACGTCATTTTAGCAGCTTGACACCTTGCTCATCGAATTCTACAGCGTTGAAAACACTAGGAAACATTTCGTTTGGCGCAAAATACAACGAGGGAGCCGGGTTACAAGAGCGTCCTGGGTGTTGCCTTCTTTTTGCACGCTACTGTACCCGATATCTTCCAGCGCTTGACCTTTGGTTGACGGTGAACGGAAGCGATCCAAGGCATGCCCCCTTCAAAGCTTTTTATTTTCTTCTCCTCTACATTTTCCGGCTTGCCGCCAACGTGGCCCAGGCCATTTTTATTCTTCTGAGCTCGAGGTGGGGGATGCAGAGGTGGAAATGCGAATGGGTTTAGGTTATTCAAATTCGAGCGTCGTGACGATAGGGGGATTCCCGGGATGCATTCGGTGATATTTTTGATGATTGCGAATGGGGCACTGTTTGTGCTGAGTTCTTATGAGAGTTTAAAGACGGATCTGCCGATATATGAATCGAGCGAAATGTATCCATATGTGATATATGCTATTGGGCCAATGGTTGTGTATTTCAAGTAAGTTACGTTATGAAGTGGACCAAAACATCTAAAAGTGCTGCATAGCGCGTATAATATTAGATTTATCTTAATTCTAAATTAGTAAACCCTAAAATTAAGGCTTTACTAAGTATCCACTTATTTTTGCTGAGGGACTGGGGCCAAGCGAGACGCAGAAGATCATTGGTGTATGTTTCCTACTAACAAGGAGACGTTTTTTGGTGTGAATGGAGTTCTGAGTGGAAACCAGGCCTATTTTGTGCAGAATTTTGCGCTGATTCCGAATATGTTTTCCATTTCTGCTAAATAGCTCGATTTCAAAAGTTATAGCAATTTTAAGATCATTTTAGCCCAAATTTTCCCCTCTTTAGGGACCAATATATTGCTTTTCCCGGCTGTTTTTCCAAAAATAAGCATCGTCACCGTCTTCAGAAAAATTTTCTCTATCGAATGTGCTATTTAACTCAAAATTGTTGAAAATCGAAAAAATCGACGATACTTGGTATGGGCTGCGATTTTTGTATGGGAAATGGTGAAAAACAGCCTATTCGTCACCCCTGTAAGCCATCGTCGATCGGCAGTAGCGCACTAATGAAATATACCATTCGAATCAGAAAAAAATTCTCTACAAGATAGGCTACTTAAACAAAATTAAGACGTTATAACAAAAAAGTAGCACAGCATAGCATATGGCTACTCTGGGCCTAAAAATTAGCTTAAAATCGCTGTAACTTTTTAAATCGAGCTATTTAGCAAAATTGGAAAACAGCATCGGAATCAGCGCAAAATTCTGCACAGAATAGGCCTGGTTTCAACTTAAAACTCCATTCACACTAAAAAACGTCTCCTTGTAAGCAAAACACCTAAACAATCAAATAATTACTTACGGATTTAATGATACGCTATTATGAATTTGCTATTAGTACGCCGAAATTCATTTTGCCGATATTGCCTTTTGTCGAAATTTCGCGTTATCAGATTTCATTTTACCGAATTTTTTTAATTCCAAACATGTAGAAAATTAGAATTTTGGTGCACTGAACTTCCCATAAAATTAAAAATTGACAATATTATTTTTCCATCAAGATTAAATTTTGGAAAAATGAATTTCGGCCGTCTAATTTTCGACAAAATGAAAACAACCCTTTTACCATAATAGTTAAAACGATACACGAGACATAATAATCATAAAACAAAAAAATTTAGGCAATGCTTACAAGGAGACGTTTTTAGGTGGGCACGGAGTTTCGTAACGAGACCTAGCTCATTCGAAAGAGCTTGAAAAACTGAGCAAGTACCCGTTTTCCATTTCTGCGAAACGATAGCGATTGATTTTTAATAATTAAATTAAAGAATTAGCATAAATTGGTGTGATTCCCCTCGCGCGGAGCGATTTCCTTCATAGATCCCCACTGTCGGAAAGCCAGGCCCCGTCTTCCCTTCCCCATAGCGATTTGGCGCAGTCGGTACGGCGTTTGCCTCTCACGAAATTTTTTTGGACTGTTGTCAGTTCGACCCCTGAGCTTAGAATTCGTTTTGCTTTTTAATTCCTGAACACTTTCTAAACGTAGAATCTAGTCCAAAATTATTTTTTTTTTGTGGTATGCCCCAAACCGGTAGCGTTGCACTCGCGTCTCCGCGATTGAAATCAACTGGCCCGCTTGGGCCTACACCGATGCTGTTCAGAACATATATGTAACGCATTGCGATAATTAAATTACAATAAATAATAAATTCAGCCTCCTAAAATAAAAAGCAAAACGAATTCTGGGCTCAGGGGTCGAACTGCCAAAAGGTCCAAAAAAATTTCGTGAGAGGCGAACGCCGTACCGATTCCGCCAAATCGCTATGGGGAGGGGGAGACGGGGCCTGGCTTTCCGACAGAGGGGATATCTTGAAGGAAATCGCTCCGCGCGAGGGGAATCATGCCAATTCTCCTAATTCTTTAATTTAATTATTAAAAATCAATCGCTATCGTTTCGCAGAAATGTAAAACGGGACCTTGCTCAGTTTTTCAAGCTCTTCCGAATGAGCTAGGTCTCGTTACGAAACTCCGTGCCCACCTAAAAACGTCTCCTTGTTAGATCACTCCCTAAATATCCATTTCGAAACCGATTTTGAAACCTGCAGCGTGGTAACCCAATTCAACTACGTAACATTCCCCCCTTCTTTGCACGCGCGGTCCCTTTGACCCCTCAGTTGGGCCCCCCATTATTTCCTTCCCTCCTTCCCCCTTCGTTTACAAATAGCTTTGACCTTTTTTAGGTTTCACAGCTTCGTGTGCCTCGGGGCAATATTCAAGCGGATCTACACGACAAAGTGGACACTTGGCCACCACCACCAACGGCAGGAAGTACTAGAAGCCCCGTAGACTTCGGTCCCCCTCATAGGTGTAAGGGGGTGTCTCTAGTCCTCTCGTTTTATGGCTCCCTTCCACCCCTCTTGCTCCCCTCGCTTATGGCCCTCCTAAAAAGTCTTCCACCTCCGGGGTGGCCACCCGAATAAATTGGCCATCCACCCTGCTATGCTCCCCCCAGGCCCATGTTTTCCTCCACCCTCAAGAAAACTCCCCCAACCATGCATTTCCAGGCTGCTCATTCTTGGATGTCTATTCAAGTCTTTCCTTTGTTAGTTGCATATTTTTAAATTCAGGAGTCTTGTGGTACAATTTCGCCATCGGCGATCGATTTTCGTTTGGTATTAGGTTATATAATTAAAGTTTGTGATTGAAAACATCTGGATCTCAATCGTATTCACTAAATCTATTTATTCTAATTTATCTAAATTTCTTAGATCATTTTAACCCGCCGATTCCTCGTTTTCCCTTCTTTTCCCTTTCGGTTTCAAGATTTCTTGACGTTCCTTTCCTACAGTAACCCCCGTCCTAAATTTTCTTTGCGTAAAATAAACCTTTAACTAATCTTGTTCAAAAAGTTGAACCCAGCAGACCTTTCCGACATTCGAAACGTTATCATATAGACATTTCACAAACACATGAATAACCTATGCTAAATGCTAATTTTTTTAAATGCAATACCAGCCATTCTAATTTTCGATCAGCCCAAACCTAAAAAAACATGCTGAACTCACATCATATTTTGGTAGCAATCGGTTTACATGGCTGTTCAACAACTTGTTTATCCTGCCCACTTCTTCCGGTCGGCTCGCAAGCTTCTCATGCTATTTTCTTCTCACCCTCTTACCACAATTCCAGATGACGGACCCATCCACGTCCACTGCAATCCCCGAGAATCCACACAAAAATGAGAATGTGGTGCTGTTCATTATATTGATTTGTTCAATCCTATTAATGCCTGTAATCTACTTATGCTACAAACTATATTTGGTATGGAAGGCGAAGAAAGAGAAGTTTGTCTAGAATTTCGATATCTAAACAAGTTTTTCTTTAGAATTAAGAGAATTCTAAAGCAAAACGAGCGGTTAAAGGCGCTACATTCCAAAGCAATTTCGATAAAACTATTGACTGGTCAGAAGATTGGCTCTTCCTTAAGTGGTATGTGTTTGAAGGTGTTTGTTTGGTTTGAGGGGGCTTATTTCATCATGAGCATCGACGCATTCTAGTTTCACGGTTGCAGGCTCATTCAATTCGGCTTCCGCAATGCCGTCTCGAGTCCCCATGGCTCCGCCGGCCGCACTTCCGGGTCAAGTCGAAAGTTTGCGGGATCCAACGAATCCAGGTAGGCGCGAAAATTTCCTTTTTATTTTTAGCCGTCATGGGGGTGTTTTTGCTTTTGAATGGTGTCAAGAATTTTCAAAAACTAGCCAATTTTATCGGTTTTGAATCTTGTAAACATATATAATGTAGTATTTTCATAAAGAGGCCGTTGCAGCTGTTCAAGAACTCGATGTCGGTAAGGTTTCGGAAGCGCAACGGGTGGAAAGCGGACTGATGGATGTGGGTCCGCTACCGGTTGATATTGCTGACCTTGAGGAAGAAAATGAGGAGAAGCGGCGGAAGATTTTGAAAAGCGATGCGTTACCTTGACCTTAATTTTGTGTGTGTTTTGAAATTATATGTATATCTGGGCAACCACTGGTAAATGACGTTTTTGAGGCATTGATTTGGACGTGTAAATGTGGGTTTCAAGAATATTGTGGTTTCAAGTTTTTTGGGAAATAATTTACATTGAGAAGGAAAGCGAAGATCGTCCGAATTTTGGAATTTCTATACTGTATTAACCCGGAATTAGAACATAGTATTTTACGGCCTAGCGCCCACTTTGCCTTTGTTTTGGCCTCTCACAGTTATAGCTAGAACAATTCTTAATAAGGTTAAGATTCGGTACCCTGTTTTTCACTATAACCCGTCAAAAACATATATACCAGAAAAACCTGTCAGCCACCTCCACCCATTCAGCCAACCAGCCCTGGAAAAACAAAATCATGAATGGATTTATTGCGGTCTGATAGGGGGGGCAAGGGAGGAAGAGGTGAGTGGATTGAGCATGGATGGGGGGAAGAAGGAGCTTGAGGGAGTTGGTGATGAATGAGGGCGGGGGATCGACCAGCTGCTGCTCGATTGGGGGAAATGCTATGTGGGTCCTCCTCTGCCTGTTCAGGTATCTGTGTGTGTGAGCCCTAACGGCTCTATGAGCCTCGAGATTGCTCGTGCTCAGGAGGAGCCGTCCTTCTTCTCCACAGCTAATTTTTCTCCACACGATCGCTTGAGGGGAGGAGTGCTATTGGGGGGAGGATGAGGGGGATGGGTCTCAGTTGGGATTTGGGGGGAGACAGCGTTGGCTCAACGCCCAATTAGATGAGCTGTTGCTTGGGTGCTTGGTGCTTACCTGGAATTGGATCTATGCTCACGAGCTGTGGAGCCAAACTATTCGTAGTTGTTTTAGCGTTTACATTTTACTACAACTATCATTCTCCTTATTAGATCCACTTTTGTTCTTCTCAAGGGTCTCGGATTAAGCACAAATAAAAAGGGCGAAGAAAATTGGGCCCTTTAATCCTTTAGCCTAAATTTTTAATTGTTTCTTGGCGCAGCATTTAAACCCAGATTATTTTAAAGAAGAGCACTGCTAAAAAATCTTAAAGCTTGCTGATTTTTTTTGTCCTTTAAATTTAGCAAAGCTCTCTAGATCAATTTGTTTCGTTTTGCATTTTTTGCCTTTCACTTCGCGTCGCGGATCCTGACTCCCGGCAAAACCCGGGTCGTCCTCTTTCAACCTCCAATTAGTACTATCCTCATGTTCTCTTGCCTTCCAGTCGAACAAGCCGAACCACACTAACAACCGCTATCCGCCAATGGATGATTGATGTCCGCCCCTTAAGTTCCTCGTCAATTCTCATGATTATGACTGAATGCCAGCTAGCACGTGATGTTAACATGTTCTTCTTGGTCTAGCTTGGTAGATCGAAAAATTAAAAACTGGCTCTGTTAATATAAGTATGTATTATTTATGAATTCCCATGAATTTTTGAAAAAGGACGGAAGGACGGAAGACGGACAAAAGACGCCAAAATCCGTCGTTTTCGTGCCGTACGTGCCGCGCCTTTTTTTACTCGGCTGCTTGTTTTCACACGTAAATGGATTCGTCGCGCCGACGCGCCTAGAGCGGCACGTGTAGATAAATCTATATGAATCGTAGCACCTAGCGACCTAGCCACCTAGCCACCTAGCTTCTCCGACCCTTTAAACAAAGCTGACTCGAGTTGACCACGACACCTTTTTTTGGTTTTTAATGATGTTGAGACGTTGACAGGATTTTTATATATCTATTATTTAAAATTGCTAAATTTCTATTTCATGTCGCATAAACTCTAATATTTTGCGAACGACTTAAACAAATTTTAGTGCGGCTATGCGATGCAAATCAGTTGTTCAAATAAATTTTCAGATCCATGTTAGAGCCACATACGAGGCCTTCTACAGGGTGTCCCAATAAAAAACCGCCCCTCAGCTTTCGTCTTCCCAATTTAAATATCATTTTCGTCAATAAAAAAAATTTGGTCAGGTAGTCAAAAGTGCCCTCTACATTTTTGCCAAATATTTCGGCATTGAAATCCATCAAAATCCCAGGGAATTCGGCGAACCAAATTTCATTTTGGCTATAAGTTTTTTGTTTTGAAAATATTTTGCTTAGAAAACTCGGCTGCGTATTGTTTTTAAAGGTTCCCATCGCTGTTAAAATTTTGACCTAGATCGAATAGAAGACGGCCAGATGTCTGGAAGCTGTTTTTTTTTATTCGGACACCCTGTATACCTGCTCAATATGCTCTGTTATTGCTGCCCAGGAAATAATTGATGATCGTTGCCCTTTCCTTAAGTACACTGATTGGTCAGTTGCCAGGGAGGAAAGGCCAGCTCCCATTTTTCCAATCACTTCCCAATCACCCATCAACCAGTACATTCCATTCCTTCCTCCCTCCTCCCCCTTAGCAAAACCTCCCACCTCACAGGTATACCCCAACCAGGTAGCTGCTGCTCCCCACCAGCCAGTCGTGGTCGATATTTTTTGGTGGGCGAAAACTCGTTTATTATAGAGACCGGGGCGGCAGTCTTTTACTGAGTGGCCCAAATTGATGGTGGCCATTAAACGGTGCCACCTCACACTCAACGCTGTGTGGCCCACTTCGGGCAAAAGGATCGGGGATGAAGCTCGGAGGGGAGGACATCCCTTGGGCTTCAATTCTTGTTAGTTTATGTTCGTGTCATATGTTTACATAAACGGGGGGCGCAACATTTGAGGCCTTTTTTGGGAGGTGGTGGTGTCAATTTTGGGTTTCTGCGGTATTTGCTGTTGCGTTTTTTTGAGATTTGTGGTTTTCAAAAAAATTATAAGGAAAAATTTCTTTAATTTCAGTTTTCTCACGAAATTTTTGAACGTTGATTTAAATTTTAATTGGTTTTCGTTTACGAAATACGAAAAATCGAGTCGTGCTAGATGATGCCGAATGTAGTCTGATTTAATGAATACAAGACAATTTGCAATTCTGAAAAAAAGCCGACGCTATTTTCGAAAATTACTGAGTGAGGAGGGTTTTGCGGAAAATTCACTTTTCAGGGGCTTTATCACGGGTGAGCTAGAAAAAACTCTTTATTAAAACGCGTCAACGTTCAGCAATTATCTAAAAAATTTTTAATATGCAAAAGACCTCTTTGCAAAAATTCCAGGCTCTAGATTCTTTTTCGATCCATTGTCGCCAAAAAACGACTGTATCTCTTAATTAATTAACAATTCTAGAGCCCAAAAATCCCGTGAAGAGCCCCGGAGACGTTGAGTGAGTTAGGATGCATTTATGGAGGTGGCTCGACCACAGCGAGTCGATGTGAGGCCATTGCCTAATGGTAGTACACCCCGTCGAGCACCGCTCGTCCCATCCCGGTCAGTCGTACAGCCCGATACATTTTGCAGGCCAATTAGAAATGGATGAGCGTCCTAATTCTAGATCCCTTCCAACAACGTCAAAGTCATCTGACCTTACAAGCACTTCTATTGACGAAACCATTGCGCCGAATACGTCGCAGGCCATTGACGGGGTGCTTCAGGTATGTTTAAATAATTAAGTAATTGAGTACTTTAAGTTAGTATTTAAACACTTTAAGTTATTTTAAGTTGAAGGCTTAGAGCTTATAATCTAAAAAAAGCTACCATCTATTATAATTTTGTTGCGATAATAGAATATAAATAGTTTTAAGAACTTACCTTGTGGATTTTCATAGTATCTAATTATGTTGATTTGTGTTAATTATGATTTGAAATTATTGTAATGAAATAGAGTTTCAGAATTTAACGATTTTGTTTTGCCTACGCTTCCCATCTATCTATCTTAACCGCTAAATGTTTTCCTTTTTTGGTGATTTCAGGATTAGCATAAATCAACAAAAATCGGCGCACTTAAAAACCGCTTAAGGAAAATTGGTGAAAATGCGTATATAGTTTGTAAGCTGTATGTCTGGATCTAATTTATCTATAAGCGTACATTTTAAGGTCAAAGCAGCTCCACCTCCTCTAAAAAAATCCAACGGCGACATCGGCATCCGATTACGTGTCCCGCAAGATGATGAGCTGCCAAGACTACCCCAGAATGGCATCCTGCGCAACCACTCGAAGCAACACCACCCAAGTATGTGATTTGCTTCTTTTTCAGAGTCCATTGAATACCGGGAAATTTCTCCAAAATCAGAGCCATCCCGGGGGGCTTAACTCATTACGCATGAGCCGACATTTCGTGCGCACGCGTTGCACGCACCTTGAAAAAGTGGGGAGTTGGGTAGAAGTGAGGAGAAATTAATGATTGATGAGGATGTGGACGCTACGGTAGAAGGGGGAATTTTGAGGAGGGGTTGGGGTGGCTTTTGGATTTGTTGGTTAGGCTCTCTAGTGCGTCGAAATGAGATGTTCCTATTTCTCGGAATGTTTTTGGCGAGATTTTTCCTTAGTTAGTAGCTGAATTGCTGTGGATTTCTGAATCCTTGTGATATAAAAACTACTTATTCGTCTTGGCAGTTTTAGAAGCGAATATAGTCAACATCTTTTGATCAGTTGTTTCTTTCTAGGCAACTTTTGAGTCTCAATTCACATAAATGTCTCATTCTTATACTCACAAATCAGTTTGTTTTTCTATTTATTTTTGCACTATAAAAATTCGGCCTACTTACATACCTCTAGCAATGGATCAAGAGGAAGATCAAGTCGTCGAGGCTCCGGCAGAAGATGAGAAAGAATCGACCCCAATGTTGACCGCGCACACTAATGGAATCCTTGGGAACGGAAATGCGGGGAGGAGAAGCCGGAAGTTTGATGGAAACGGCGTCGGGAATGGGAGACGATCGCCATATTATTGGAATAGTCACGAAACGAGTCGACCTCCAAGCCGTGCGCTTGCTTCTCCGGTTCTGCCCCAAACTAATGGCCATGCAAACGGGCATGCGAATTGTAATAATTTTTGTGGTTTTTTAAATTGATGGCTGATATCAGGGTTCCAAATTTAAATAATTTATGCATAGAAAATCATCGAATTCTTAAGCGAAATGAGATGTCCTTGGAAAATTCCATGCAAAACGATGCAAAATCCAAAAATCAAGCCGGAAAAGGTTGTTGAATTATGGAAACCCGTGTTTTCGTCATAATTTAGGAGCTATTGTAGCTATGTGGCGGTTCTGGATTTTTGTTCTTGGAGTTCCAATACGCTTTGTATCCGCTTTTGGGGACGATTGTGTGTAAGGTCGCCAAATGATGTGAGGTACTTCTAGTATAACCTATCTACCATTATAAGCTTCTTTAATTCCCAAGATCCAGAACAAAATGTACTATCGTTCCAGGGTGAACACAACGACGATGGGGTAGGCTAGCGGAAATCGAGCTTTCGGAGACAAGTGAATATCCGCCGGCTACCCGGGACCCGTTCACACTTTCCCCAAATTGAACCCTCGCCTCACCCCCTCTAACCCTAGTCACAACCCAAATGACCCGAAAAGTCTATGCGTCAACACCGATACGCAAGGACGCCATTCTATTTTTTGAGACCTGTCAAAAGTATGGAATCGAATTTGGTGCTATTACTCTACGGCAATTTTCAGACGGTGATGGCGCTCAGAAGCAATCTGTACAAACCTATGATTTTGAAGATGAGCCGATGCCAAGTGATAGTTGCTGTTGTGGCAAAGTCCATATTATGGTATGGTATTTGAAAATCGTTTCAAACATATTTCAATTTTAGAAAGGCTGCCGAGCGGTTGCCATTTTGAGTCTACTTTCTGTGATCGCGAATGGCATACTTTATGTTTTTGGTTTCACAAGATTTGGTAGTTTTAAAAGGTTGTATGATAACTAAATTTTAGGTGTATCGACGTGGATAGAAATCCTAATCCTAATCTTCGAGCTGTTCACAATTTTCATGCTATTTTGTGGCCTTTCTCGAAAGAGATCCGGCTTCTTGAAGCCATATCTTTTCTTCAATGTAAGTATTCAATAATCTACTATAAAGTCTTTTCCAGACGATTTGGGCCGTGTGCCTTTGTATATTATTTTTGATGTGTGTCTGGCAGCTAATTCGGGGCGGCAATATGCCGGCGAATTTATGGAAGAACCTGAAGCATATGAAGGGCCAGTCAGAGTTTGACCGCGCTAAGGAATCATTTCGAAAATCGGATGATAATACAAGTTTGAATTCTTAAAAAAGCTAAATTTTTTTATCTGATTTTTAGTCATCATCGGTATAGTGACCGCTTTGGCAATGACAGGTCTCGCCTCACTTATTGTCGTTGATTTCATTTTTGTTCAGGTAAGCGCATCGGCGGTAATTTTAAAAAAATCCCTTAGATTGTCTACCGTACGTTTCACTACTTGGCTTACAAAGAAGACAAAGCAAAAGAACAAGGCGGCCAGGTCATATCGCATAATTTTTGATCATTTAAATTACCCCTCCAATCTCGAAACAATTTCATTTCCACGGGTTGTGCTGTCCCATTCATTCTCGGTGTTTCTTTTCCTTGTCGAATAAATCATTTATTAGATTAAAGAGCGAATTTTGGTACCGATTTCTTATTTTCCATTGATTTTGGCGAGGTTGAGCTAGAGGTATAAGTGTTTAAGGTAGGTTAAAAGTGCAGACCTTGATAGAGGGGTCGAGTCCATCACCAGACAACCACTCATCGACGTCAATTTGGCCGGAAGCCTTTTCGAATGACTGGTTGACGCAATCAATGTATTTTTGCATGGCCTCTTCCTTGGAAGTACCCTTTACGCCGTTCCAGGCATCCCTGAACATTCACAAATTCATTATTCTGAGTCCAACTTTTCACTCACCACTTGGCCTTCTCAACAAAGCTGAACATTCCTGGGCGCTCCGTGTTGACATCACCAACGGTCACCTGCTTAAAGTAAGCATAATACTTCAGCTTCTCCTCGTTCGATGTGGCAAGAGGACCTGAATTCTATTTCCTAAGCTCAAAGTCTTATCCTACCATCCTTAGGCAATTTCTGAATGATATCAACGGCCGCCTGGAATTTGTCTTCAAGGCTCATCGCTTCTAAATATTGGCATTATTTGATACAGAGCCTTCTATAACTTCATAAGGTTTAATGAAAGGTGTGCTGATGAGGGGGTTTTGAAGGAGCGAAAGGCGTGGGATGGCCCGATTTCTGCGAGAGAAAACAACAAGGGAAACCCGAGGAAAGGGAATAAAGAGATCGGTATACTAGACTACGCCTTTGCGACAAGATCCGTTCGACAGATAAGGACAACGTGTCAGGGTAGATCACAGTAATTAATCGGTTTGCAAAAAAAACAACAGGGTTTCTCGCTATATTGGTTTTAGTTATAGATCTAGTAATTGGGTAAGGAAGGGCCTGTAAAAACCTGTTAAACACTACCAATTTCCATTTTGGGTGAAGCTTTTTTAAGGTAGCTTTATATATGGGTACTTGATAACAAGGATGTGAAAATTAGTGACTGGAAAAGAAGGGAATTTTTACCTCTAAGTTTCAAGTTATACAGTTTTAATCGTAGGTTTATCAAAATAGATGTTGATGCTAGATATTCGATATTAAATGTAAAAATATACTGCACGCTATCTATATACAGTGCCATATAATGGAACAATATAATAATATATCCTTCGCGGGCAATTCCTACTACTATGCGCAAGAGACTGTTCGGCTCGCGGATTCGCGGAAATTGCGGGCCGATTGTGGCTAGGAAGAGGGGGGAATCCTTGAAATCGATGGGGTGACCCACTTCGGAACCCTTTCTGGTTGCCTATCAGAGACACACAACAGAAAATGACCCCTACTTGACGGAATATCTCTCGATTCCCTCCACTTCTCTTACGGGATCGCGCAACAAATAGGATACCCTGGGGGTATGATATGGATTTCGAGTGCAAGAGAATAGTCTATTACTGATAAGAATTTGCCATTGATGAAATTGGGAGGTCAAACTATGGGATTAAAAATCGATGGAAATTCCTACTACTATGTATATCCATATGCGCTTTATTTCTTAGCTAAAATTATTCCGTTTAGAGTGTCACGATTTGCAAATAATTTTACATCTTTTTTAAGTAACCAAAATGAAGGGAAAACTTCAACATTACGAATCTATAGACCTTCTTGTATCTTCCACGAATACTGCTACTTTAAATAATATGCATTTCCCACCTAATAGTTAATTTTTTTTCAGGATGCAACGCCACGCGACAAAATTAATCTCGCAACTAAAACGGCCGTTTGTTTATGGGATGATACATGTACCTGCATTACCTGGGTATTCAAAGAAATCAATTCCAGTCCTCTTTTTAGCGCTCCTTTAAACCGACTTGGCATAGCTGAAATTAGAAATATCGTTCGACATGAGGCAAAAATCTATAAAGACAGCGGAATCGTAAGCATATAATGTATCTCTGAAATATTTTTAAGGATGGCATAATTGTGGAGAATATGTGGGACATCCCGTATGTTAAGAAGGAAGCTTCCGGCCCGGAGGTACCAAAGTTGAAGCTGAAAAACTTATAGTTAACCTTTTGTTGTTAGGTAGTTGCCGCGATGGCTATATCGTGTGAAGAGGTGACAAATCTGTTTGGCTCAAAACGGGATGCAATGTCACTCGGAATTCAAATCTTGGCCGGATGTAATGAGGAGGCAATTGCTGTTGCAAATGCGACGGGTAAGGGAGTTATATGTATAAACAACAATACTGTAGTAGGAACAAATTGACACATTTTTTTCAGGCTTTGACTTGATTCGCGCAGAAGGGTTCGTCTTTGCAAGTGTGGCAGATGAAGGATGGATCGATGGATGTGCTGGACCTCTCCTGCGATACCGTAAAAAGATTGGAGCCGACGATGTTGCAGTATTCTGTGATATTAAGAAGAAGCACAGGTAGGATCCAATTTCAGCAATTTTTTAGGATTTCAGCTCCCACTCTGTTACTGCAGACATAAGTGTCGGCGAGGCTGCAAAGGCCGCTGAATTTTTTTGAAGCGAATGGCCTGATAGTTACCGGAACTTCTACAGGCCAGACGGCAAAGGTTGAAGAGGTTGAGGGTAAGAAGTTAGACCGTTTAATAGCTTTTATCCATTTTTAAGAGGCCAAATCCGCCAGCAATCTACCGATCTTGATCGGTTCGGGTGTTTCGTTCGAAAACATGGAACGCTACAAGACCGCAGATGCCTTCATCGTTGGGACAGATTTTAAGAAGGATCGTCATTGGAGGAATGAACTATCTGCTGATATGGTTAGGCGATTTATGGAAAAAGCTAGGAAGTTAGTCTAATTCGGAATAAATTGTTATAGTACCTAATTTGTAATTTTGTCTATTTGTACATGCTTATAATTCTCACAATTCGTTCAGTCACAGCCAGGCGGGAGAATCACCCTTCTCTTGACAGTCGCACTTTAATAAGTGAATAAAATACACCAATAAAAGTTTTAATCGGGTCTTTTTTTCGAAATTTTGAGCTAGCTATTTTGCAAAGTTCGACGAGACTGAAATTTTCTCAAATTTGAGAGTTGCCCGCTTGCAAGCTGATTTGATCGTATCTAGAATAAGGAGATCGTAGAAAGCAATTTTTACTGCGGCTTATTTACCCCCAAACTCTCCAGTCACCATTTCTTTGACCCCACATTGTTTACCGGTCCAACTATCCCGTTCAAAAAGCGACACGCTCATCTCGAGTAGATGAAGCAATCGGTGGCTTATCCAAATAGATTCACCCATTTTTGGTTACTTTGACAGGAAGGGCAAAGCCGACTTGTCGGTGCAAAGTCAAAGGCCGGGGGTGTTTACCGAGTTGCGCATACCGATCTGCCCCGGGCATCCTTCACGGGCCTCCAATTATCCCGTATGGGGGTGGTTGAAGGGGAGGAAGGAAGGAACTCTGCGGGTTGCAGCGTTGCCTTAGGCATATCCGGGTTGGGGGTTGTTAATTGGGAGGGGATGTGATCAGTTGGCACGATCAGGGATTTCTGGGGGGAAGAACAAAGGGTCCGCTGAGATTCAAAGGGTGCATGGTTGATTCATTTTCCATCTTCTTTCGAATATCAAAGATCGTGCCTTTGTGTTTGTCTGCGTGGATTTTGCCCGCGACTTAATTTAATTACTAATTTAATTAGTATTATGTTCCAAAATGACCGCACATATGTCAGCTTTGCAAAAACAGCTGTATTCGACATTTAAATTTAATTTTGCACGGAAAAACAGTTAAAATTCCGCGTCCGCCGGAAGTGGAGCGTTTTTAATATTTTTGTCAGCGTGCAGATATCTCCGAGCCATTACACATCCAATGACTTATCACACGCCCCTTAAACTTCTACCATTATCGAAATATCCTGATGCTGAAGGAAGTTGCATGCAAATTTACAACGCTGTTTTTTATTTCAACCATTACGTCTACCTTTTGCCCTGCCTCTCCCTTTAAAATGAGTCCCCTCAACCGCTACAAATTCTGACCAAGGGGGTGCCATTTTGAAAAGTGCGGCGATCCCCGTTCGACCCCGTTTTGTGGATGGTGGCCGTTTGAAGGGAGAGTGGCCGGTGTCTGATGGCGTGTCCGAGCTGTCTGTTTGACATTGGCCGCCTCACAAAAGATGGCCCTCTCGTCCACAATACTCCGGCCCAAACAGAAAATCCACGAAAAACCTTTCCACCACCCACCGCACCGAAAAATTCGGACCAAGATCGCGGCCATCGGACATTGGCTGTGCCATATAGGTTACGGTAGTCGATTTTCGCAGGGGATTTTCGAAAACTTTGAAGCCAGCTTGCATGCATGTAGGTCTGAGAACTAAATATAGAACTGGCAAAATATTCTGAATCGGAACGGCGTTCCCTAAAAAACGCTCAGGGTCTATTTGAACAGATGATAAAGTGCCAGTGCCCGTCTGGCGATGAATGACTACTTTTGACGATCGTTTATTGCAATGTTTTCTTTATTACTGAAAGGTCTTGGTATCATTGATTTTTCGCTCGACAGGCTAGGTCAAAAAATCGAATTGGTTGAGTTTTGACCCGGTATGTTCCGGGCTCTTCACAAACATGTTGACCCAGCCATAAGAGGGCCGGCGGGGAGTTTCCGCTTTTTTCGGAAAATGTGAAGGCGATGTGGGGGTCGTGGAGAGGAAGTGTGGCTATATTCACACGAATGCCTTTACTTGATAGGTGTAAGAGAGAGAGAGAGAGAGAAGAGAGAGGGGAAGAGAGAGAGAGAGAGAGAGAGAGAGAGAGAGAGAGAGAGAAAATAGAGAAACTCGATGTGCACACCTCATTGCATCACTGACACCTTTCGACCCGTAGGAAACACGCAACGAAATCTGGAGGGTAGGTGGGGGAGATTCAGGATATGGGTGCGCAGTGTGCCATGGGGGTGCTACCAGGAAATTACGGCGATGTGCCACCTATTTGGCATCTTGGATTTGTTTGTGGACGGTCGCACGAGTGGTTTTTGTTTTAGGTTAAAAATAACGGGTCGGATAGAAAGTGACGGTAAAATCTTTTATTCACTTGAAAATCTGCCGACAGGTTCTATTTACACAATCTATTGATTGTTTGATAAGTTTTGCGACGCTTTACCTGGTAGGGATTCTATGTATTGGCACCTAAAATTTATAGGAGTTGCGGTACAGCCTCAGAAAGTTTCGCCGGAAAAAAGGAGGCGAGGTATCTTCGCGTAGAGTGATTTGCGTACGATACCTTTAACCCCTCAATATTCTATCATTACTAATTCTTTTAACCTGATATGTTATTTCATGTAAATTTGGGTTTAAAGGGGCAATCAAGAGCAACGTTTAAAGACATTGCAACTACCTTTCAGTTCCTCTCGAAATTGCATGTTTATCTTAATTTTTCACAACTTGATAAAATCCAATTTTTTAAAATTTCAAGCCATATTCCCTAAATTCCGCCTCATCCAAGCACGTTAATGACGGGGGCTAATCCTCAGTGTACAGCATTCCATATCCGTCCACCATCACCCGCCAACCCCCCGATCGCGCGCAGCTTCGACAAACTTGTAGTGGCCCCAGATTC